TTAAAAATTGATCGCTGGGCATGGTGACTTTGCCTGTAATCACAGCATTTTGGGAGGCCGAGGCGGGCGGATCACGAGGTCAGGAGATTGAGACCATTCTGGCCAACACAGTGAAACCCCATCTCTATTAAAAAAAAAAAAAAAATCCATCATGCCCTGCGGCCAGGCACAGCGGCCTGTAATCCCAACACTTTAAGAGGCTGAGGCAGGTGGATCATTTGAAGCCAGGAGTCTGAAACCAGCCTGATCAACATGGCAAAACCCTGTCTCTACTAAAAATACAAAAAATTAGCCGGGTGTGGTTGGGCATGCCTGTAGTCCCAGCTACTCAGGAGGCTGACACATGAGAATCGCTTGAACCCGGGAGCCAGAGGTTGCAGTGAGCCAAGATGGCATCAGTGCACTCCAGCCTGAGATCCTGTCTCAAAAAAAAAAAAAAAATTATTTTCATATCCCCACGATATGACCCAGCCATTCCACTCTCCAGTATTTACCCAAGACAAGTGAAAGCAGATGTCCACACAGAGACTGGCACGTGAACACTCACAGCAGCTCTATGTGTGATAGCCTCGCGTTGAAACAAAACAGGTCCCTGATGGAGCCGCACGCTGTAGATATCCACACAGTGGGACACTTCTTAGCAAGGAAAAGGAGCAAAGTATTGATACTCACAGCGCGTGATGAATCTCAAAATGGTTATGCTGAGTGAAGGAAGCCAGACACAAAAGAGAACATACCGTGTGGTTCCATTTATATAAAAATTATAGAAAATGCACACTAATCTTTAGTGATGAAAAGATCAGGCTAGGCACGGTGGCTCATGCCTGTAATCCCAACACTTTGGGAGGCCGAGCCTGGCGGATACTTGAGATCAGGACTTTGAGACCAGCCTGGCCAACATGATGAAACCCTGTCTCTACTAAAAATACAAACATGAGCCAGGCGTAGTGGCTCATACCTGTAATCCCAGGTACCTGGGAGGCTGAGGCAGGAGAATCACTTGAACCTGGAAGGCGGAGGTTCCTGTGAGCCAAGATTGTGCCATTGCACTCCAGGCTGGGCAACACAGTGAGACTTTATCTCTAAAAAAAAAAAAAAAAAAAAAAAATCAGGGCAGTGCAGGGGGGGGGGGGGGGGGAGGGAGGGTTTACCAAGAGGCCCGAGGAAGTTTTTGAGGGAGATGGATATGTTATCACCATTGCAGTGGAGCATTCTTATTTTTTTCTTTTTTGAGACGGAGTCTAACGCTGTCACCTGGGCTAGAGTGCAGTGGCACGATCTCAGCTCACTGCAACCTCCACCTCTCAGGTTCAAGTGATTCTCCTGCCTCAGCCTCCTGAGTAGCTGGGATTACAGGCACGTGCCACTATGCCTAATTTATGTATTTTTAGTAGAGGTGGGGGTTTCACCATGTTGGCCAGGCTGATCTTGAACTCCTGACCTCATGATCTGCCCACTTCGGCCTCCCAAAATGCTGGGATTACAGGCGTGACCTACCACACCTGGCCTTACAGTGGAGCTTTCACAGGTGTGCACATATGTTAAAACATATTCAATATATTCTAAACAAGTGCATTTTGCTATACATCAGAGATGCCCCAATAAAGTGGAAAAATCAAGTTGGGTAAGTTGACAGAGGGTGATGAGGAACAGGTGCTCTTTATTTAGGGTGCTGATTCTGTCCAAGATTCTGCTCTAACAATTCCTCAGGGATTTCCACTCTTCTGACCAGATGGGTGGCTCCCAGGTTTCCTAAACCTGGGGCTCAGGGATCAAACTGAATGGCAACCCTTGTGATTGGTCTGATCTCAGAAGAAATTACCCATTTGGGAGCAGCCTTCCCAAGCATCTGACCCTTCTTGCACAGATGAGGTCAGGGGAGCCCAGAGAGGTTACCTCCTTGCCCCAGAACACACAGCACAGCTAGGGTGAGGAGCTAATTCATGAACCGTGACCGGAGTGGGAGGAAGATGAAGCCGCCTCTGTGGAGAGGTAGGAAGCTCAGCTCTGAAGGCCCTGCCATCTCAGCCATGGCAGATGACTCCTGCAGACTTGGAGAAGCAAGCTAATAAAATTGCTTCTGCATGGATTTATAATTAGCAGTTTCTGTGAAGCCTGAGTCCAGCCCAGAACCCAGGAGCCAAGCACAGCAACTTCCACTCACCCCCACCACCTGCTTGGGTTATTCAGCTCAGGGGATTGGGGAGAGCTGGTTGGAAATTGTCAAGGGCTTGCCCTACCCCTCGGAATCCAAACTTAATACCTCTTCCCTGGTGCTGCCTATGGGGGCCTGGGATCCACATTCTACAAGGACCCATCCAAAGAGGAGGAGCTGTTTTGTCTGCAGAAGCGCAGGAGGAGGGGCAGAGAGGGGCACTGTTGCTGTCTCAGTCACAGGGATGTCAAAAGACAGCAGGGTCCGGTTTTCCCATGAGTTCTCTCCTGGTCTCCGTGGCTGTCCCTTTGTCCCTACCCAAATACTACCAAGGCTCTGTCCATCACCTTCACTGCCTCTGGTCCTTCCCCTTTCGTGATCTCAGCTGTCCCAGAGCTTCAAATGCTATCATTGCTTAGCGTAGCAGGAAGCTTGCCACAGGTGTTTTTGCTTAAAATGACTGACAAGGCAAGGCTAATGGATTTAGGTGGCCAAAAAAAAAAAAAAAATGCAAAAACAGTCTTCATTAGACTCAGACAGCAAAAGATTAAAGATGCTTGCTCCCTGTCCCCTGCATCCTTATCCCACAGGATGACACTGAAACAAAAGGGGCCCAGTGATGACAGCGTGAGCAGGGCCACCCTGGTGCTGAGCTGCAGCTGTACCCTCAGGCAGAGGACAAGGCAGGAGCCCCAAACCTCACCAGAGCTGAGGGTCAGGAGAATCTCTCAGAATGGCCTCCCGGGAAGATGGGAGGTGGGGACAGGGCCAGGTGGCAGCAACTCGAAAACCTCCCAAGCTGTCGTGTGCTGGGAGGATCACGGGGAGTTCTGCCAAGGTTCAGATGAGCAGCGGGGAAGCTGGGCCTCTGTGGACACGGACAAGGGCTGTGGGACGCTGGCTCCGCTCTGAGCGGTTCCCCGCCAGTGAGTGACAACCAACCGTACTTCTGTGGTTTACAGTACAAAGGTTTATTCCCCGTCTGGGATCCCTGCTGGCTGTGGGCCAGCGGTGGCTCAGCTCCGTGCTTCTTCCTCATTCGGGGGCCAGCCACACAGAGCAGCCCCCAGTGGTCTGTGCTGCTCTCCCAGGCTGAGCGACAGCGGAACCATCCAAAGGCTCTTCAAGCCTCTGCTCAGAGTGCCCCCCGCCTGTCCAATGGCCAGACCAACGGTGCAGGGTGGGAGGGAGTATAATCCTTTCCAATCCGGGCAGCAAGGATTTGGGAGCAACCATTTGCTCTCCCCGCTCTGCCAACTCCAGCACGGCTATCTGCAGCCCCTTCCTCCCCCACAGCACCAGACCTGGATACCGCGTAGCCTGCTACTCAGCCCTACCAGAGGCGTCCCAGGCAGCTGGCATTGAGCCACCCCGCATTCTGGATTGCCTCTAGCTCAAACTTCCTGTCCCCGTTCTGGTTGAGGGCAAGAGCTGGTACTCAGTGGCCCCGGCCCCCCACCCGGAGGTCAGGCTTTCTCCCTCCCTCCCCACAGCCAGTCCGTCAGCAAGTTCTTCTGTGTCCTCATCAGAGTCACACTGGTGCCCCTCGGCTTCCTGCCCCCAAATCCATCCTCTGCACAGCAGTGAAGAGGGCTTTATGAAGATTGCTCTTTGTGTGAAACTGTTCAGAGCTTCCATCAGGCCCGGAATAAAACCCAGTCTCCCTGTGGTGGCCTCAAGCCTTCTCCACCCCATCTCCCTCCAATCTCCCCCTCGGCCACCTTGCCTTTTGCCGGCCTTGAATCTGCCAACGTTGGCAAAATATTGCTCCTGACCAGGCACGGTGGCTCACGCCTGGAATCCCAGTACTTTGGGAGGCTGAGGAGGGAGGATCACTTAAGGTCAGGAGTTCAAGAGCAGCCTGGTCAACACGGTAAAACCTCATCTCTACTAAAAATACCAAAATTAGTCAGGCGTGGTGGCAGGCACCTGCAATCCCAGCTACTTGGGAGTCTGAGGCAGGAGAATCGCTTGAAGCCGGGAGACAAGCAAGTGGAGATGGCGCCACTGCACTCCAGCCTGGGGGAAAAGAGCGAGACTCCATTTCAAAACAAAAAAAAATACTGCTCTTGACAGTGGATGCCTCACCCCTTCTATGAACACAGAGCACAAAGCAGGTGCCCAATAAATAACCAGGCGAGTGAGTATTATGATTGCCAAACTCCTTCCCCTCCTTGCTGTGTGCTGGGTGGGGTGGGGGTCACAAAAATGGATCCCACCTTCACTGGCCCTCCAGCAGTGGAGCCTGTTTGGTTTTTGTTGTTGCTGTTGTTTTGTTTTTGTCGCCCAGGCTGGAGTGCAATGGCACAATCGCGGCTCACCGCAACCTCTGCCTCCCGGGTTCAAGAGATTCTCCTGCCTCAGCCTCCCAAGTAGCTGGGATCACAGGCATGCGCCACCACGCCCAGCTAATTCCGTATGTTTAGTAGAGACAGGGTTTCACCATGTTGGTCAGGCTGGTCTTATACTCCTGACCTCAGGTGATCTGCCCCCCTGATAACCTGAGGTCAGGGATTACAGGTGTGAACCACTGAGCCCGGTCCGTTTATTTTTTGAGACAGTATCTCACTCTGCGGCCCAGGCTGGAGTGCAATGGCAGGATCATAGCTCATCGCAACCCTGCTCCCCTGGCCTCAAGCAATCCTGCCACCCCAGCCTCCCGAGTCCCTGGGACTACAAGCAACGTGCCACCTCCTGGCAACTCATGTGCTGTAGCCTTGACTGAAAGTTAGTCCCGTGCTCCCACTCACCCTGTAGCGAAACAATCCAAGCTCTCACTTTGACTTTGATTCATTCATTCATTCACCTTCTCACTCATTCATTCTGTAAGTAGTCATTGAACTACAAATCTTCGGAAGATTTTATTAAGGGTTTTCCTGCAGTTGAAGAGACAAACCCTGTTTCACCTTCCCTGAAGTCAGGGTGTGACATCCACCGCTGCAGGGCTCAGGCAAGGCCAGGGAGGAGGACGCTGCTGCCCAGGAGTGGTGCTGGGCTCAGTCCTGGAGCTTGCTGGAATACGGCTCGGCCCTGTCCAGCGGCGGCCCACGGTTCACGGACGTGTAAGCAGGATCTGAGGCCCCCAGTGACTTGGGAACAGCCTCCTGAGTGATCTGGGAGTTGTGAGCTGTTTCCCCGTCAGAACTCCCCATGTCCCTGGCCAGGGGGATGGAGAGACCCAGGATTAGGGAAGCAGGGCAAACCCAAACTCCTTCAGCTGCTTGGGGACCTTCATGCTCAGACATCACTTTCACAGACATCGTCTTCGTAGACATTAATCAAATAATCTTTCTGGAGCACTGACCCTGTGCTAGACCCTGGGAATAAGGAAGAGGTGCACCTTTTTGAACGATGTGAACAACTTACAGGTCTTACTGGGAGCTGGACAATTTGAGGCCACTGTCCCATGTTCCTAAAAAACTAAGATTGCAGGGTGGGACCAACCACAATAATGACCACGCAGCATGGACAAGTGCAGAGGGGAGCTGCAGGAAGGCTTCCTGGAGGAGGCGGCAGCTCATGTGGCCCTAAAGAAGGAGGGCGGGCCGGGCACAATAGCTCACACCTGTAATCCCAGCACTTTGGGAGACCGAGACAGGTGGATCACCTGAGGTCAGGAGTTTGAGACCAGCCTGGCCAACCCTGTTGGTGAAACCCTGTCTCTACTAAAAATAATTAAAAAAAAAAAAAATTGCCAGTCGTGGTGGTGAATGCCTGTAATCCCAGCTACTCAGGAGGTTGAGGCAGGAGAATCGCTTGAACCTGGGTGGCGGAGGTTGCGGTGAGCCGAGATGGTACCGTTGCCCTCCAGCCTGGGCAACAAGAGCGAAACTCTGTCTCAAAAAAAAGGAGTGTGGGGGAAGAGAAAGGCATTGAGGCGCGAGGTCTGTACGTGGGTGTGAGGCAGGAAGGGCTGAGGAGGGTCGGGCAACAGTGCAGACTGGAGCTCAGTGCAGCTGGAGCCGGAACAGAGGGAGGGTGGCAGGCGGGACACATGAAAAAGCTGGGCTGCATTCAGATGACGGAAGAGAACAGGGTCTTCAGTGCCAGATGAGGGCACTGCCCGAAAGGAAGGAGGGCCATTGCCGTGTTCTGACTGCTCCTGGGTGCAGCCAGGCAGTTTCTGGGCAGCTGCTATCACCTGTTGTGTTTTTGTTAAACTGAAATGTCAGAGTCAACCTGATTTGCAAGTTCTCATCCTCCTCCCTCACTCCATCTCCCCCGCCCCCACCTCTCTTTTCCGGCCTGGCTAGTCTCCAGGTGTCCACGTAATTATACCTAAACAAGACACTTTTCTATCTGCTCCACCCCTACCCACACTGGGACCTCTCTCGGTCTTCAAAGTCCCCTGGGCCTCCCTGCCTCCCTGCCTCTCACTAAGCAGCACTCGGCTGATGAGGGTTTGCTCACACTGACCCTTCCTCCAGGAAGGCCACCCTGACACTCCAGGCAGCACCCACCCTGCCCTCCTCTAGATTCCCACAGCACCTTGGTTTGTCCCTGCCTGGTCCTTCCAGGGCGTGGTGGACTGTGGGCTCACATGTCTTGCCCACTCACAGCCCTGCTAACCCTGGTGCACCCCCGGGAGACCTGGAGTCCTCATCCAAAGCCGACATGAATCAGAGGTGTCAGTGGAGTCCCGAGTGAGTCCCAGGTTCTAGGCCCAGCTCTAGGTGCTGGTGCCAGGCCATGTCACCTTGGGCCACTCTGACGCCCTCTGGGCTTCAGTTTCCCCATCTGTACGGCAAGTGAGTGTATTAAAATGACAACAAAAGCAAATAACTTGTTGAGTTTCTGAGCACTGCTCTTCTTTTTCCGAGACAGTCTCACTCTGTCTCCCAGGCTGGAGTGCAGTGGTGTGATCTCGGCTCACTGCAAACTCTGCTTCCTGGGTTCAAGCGATTCTCCCGCCTCAGCCTCTTGAGTAGCTGGGGCCACAGGCGCCCACCACAGTGCCCGGCTAATTTTTGTATTTTTAGTAAAGACAGGGTTTCACCATATTGGCCAGGCTGGTCTCAAACTCCTGACCTTGTGATCTGCCTGCCTTGGCCTCCCAAAGTGCTGGGATTACAGGCGTGAGCCACCACACCCGGCCTCTAGAGACTTTACAGAGATCATTCCACTTAACCTTCACAACTCCATGAATTATTTCCATTTTCCAGATGAGGAAACTAAAGAATAGAAGGATAGCAAGCCATGCCACTTCCAGTTAAGGGTGCATAACTTTAAGTGTCAGAGCTAAGATCTGAATCGGCTATCTGCCCACAAGCCCAGCTGCTGAGCCCTGCCCTCCCCAGCTGAGCAACTTGACTTTGATGATCCTCCCGCTTTGAAATCCCAGGACTCTGCTCCCCCGTCACCAGACCCCCACCCCCACCCCCTCCGCCGCTGCCCTGCCACAGGGCAGAGGGGTAGCCTCCTTGCCTCCCAGGCTTCCCCTGCCTCAGAGGACACAGCTTCTGAGTCCCTGTGGGCCGAATGTGTCTGGCGTGTCCCTGGGGTCCAGTCCTCCCAACTGGTGGGTACTTACAAGAGGCTGAGGACAATGGCACCAGCAAAACCCACAAGTAGAAAGAAGGGCAGGGAGCCCAGGATGGAAGTGATGACAATCATGCCTCCGCTCCGCCGGCCTGGCCACGTGTCGATCGCCGAGTATGGAGTGACTGTGGTGAGACACTGCTTGTTACTCCCCAGACACCTCACCACCCTCGGACATCTCCCAGGTGGCGGCCAGTGTCTTCCCCCACCCTGGCTGCCAGGGATCCAGGAATGACCCTGGGACCCAGTACAGCGACTTCTCCCAGGTTTTAGGCACAATTACCTTGTTTTCCCCACATTCCACCTCCTGCCTTTCTTTTATGTGTTTCTGGCCACCTCCTCATTTAAATCTTTTTTTTTTCGCATTATTTTCTTTTTTTTTTTTTTTTTTTTTTTCTTTTTTGAGACGGAGTTTCGCTCTTGTTGCCCAGGCTGGAGTGCAATGGCGCGATCTCGGCTCACCGCAACCTCCGCCTCCTGGGTTCAGGCAATTCTCCTGCCTCAGCCTCCTGAGTAGCTGGGATTACAGGCACGCGCCACCATGCCCGGCTGATTTTTTGTATTTTTAGTAGAGACGGGGTTTCACCATGTTGACCAGGATGGTCTCGATCTCTTGACCTCGTGATCCACCCGCCTCGGCCTCCCAAAGTGCTGGGATTACAGGCGTGAGCCACCGCGCCCGGCCGCATTATTTTCTGTTACAGTTTTTGAGACAGAGTCTCGCTCTGTCACCCAGGATGGAGTGCAGTGGCACCATCCTGGCTCACTGCAGCCTCAACCTCAGGCTCAAGCAATCCTCCCACCCCAGCCTCCCGAGCAGCTGGGACTACAGGTGCATGCCACCACGCCCAGCTAATTTGTTGTACTTTTTTTGTAGAGATGGGGTTTCACCGTGTTGCCCAGAATGGTCTTGAACTTGGGCTCAAGCAATCCTGCCTCTGCCTACCAACGTGTTGAGATTCCAGGTGTGAGCCACCAGGGCACCTGGCCTTTGCATAATTTTAAATCATAAAGTGACTCAAGTCTTCTGGTGAGATGGCTAGGATACGGATTGTAATCAAAGATGAGGCAAAGGGCCCTGGTCTGACGGGGCCAGGTGGGCAGTGGCTGTCACTCTTCCGGGGCTGGCCTCACCCTTTGGAACTGTGTGAATGGATGATGTATGGGTCCTACTGTAGCCAGCCACTTGCAGCTACTGTCCCAGGTCCCCTGGAGCCCCCATTCTGCAGATCACTCACTGCACTCAGGGAGCCTGAGTTCCCGGCCAAGGACACACAGAATCCAGGCTCAAGCCGGGCCGGCCTGGTCCTGAGGTGCATGCTGCTCCCAAAGGCCCTGCGGTCCTCCCGCAAGAGAGGTGGGCCTCGTGCTTCTGCCTGGGTTCCCCAAAGGAACCCTGATGCGGAGGCCCTCAAGAATTCTTCTTCCTTCTTCTCAGATGAGGAAACCGAGGTCCCAAGGGTTCCCCGGCGGTTTCAGCAAAACCACACTGCGTGGGAATGCCACAGGAGGGGGGCAGGGAGTGAGGATGGGAGGAGTCACCGCAGCCACACACACTGCCACACTCTCACACACCACACAACACACACCAACTCAAACACACACACTGCCACACTTACACACAGCACTCACAACACATACCAAGTCACTCACACGCTCACACTCACACACCACACACATCACACACCAACTCAAACTCACATACACACACACTGCCACACTCTCACACCACACAACATACACCAACTCAAACACACACACTGCCACACCTACACACACCACTCACCACACATACCAAGTCACTCACACACTCACACACATGACACACATCACACACCAACTCAAACTCACTCTCACACTCACGCACCACACATACCAACTCACACACTCTCACACATACCACACACTAACTCAAAGTCACACACACTGCCACACTCACACACCACACACCACACATACCAACTCACACACACACTCACACACCACACACATCACACTCACACACACACTGCCACACTCACACTACACATCACATAACACACACTCACATCCACCAGACACCACATACGCTCTCACACACCACACATATCACACTCCACACACACCACACATACCAACTCACACTGACACCACACACACCAACTCACACACACATTCACACACACCATACTCACACACCACACATGCTACACACACCACATACCACACACATAGTCTCACAGTCACACACTACGTCCCCCACACACTAAACACATATCATACACCAACTCGTACACACATACCATGTACCACACACACCACACATGACACACATGCACACTAAGACACATACCATGTACCACACACAACACACACCAGCTCACACACACATGCTAACACCACACACCACACAATACACACTCACATACATCACACACCACACACACACACACACACACACACCAGACATCTATCACACACTATACACATCACACACTCACCACACACATCACACACAACTCAAACTCACACACACACTGCCACACTCTCACACCACATGCCACACACAATACACACTCTCACACACCACATATCTATCACACAGCACACACATCACACACTCACCACACACATCACACACCAACTCAAACACACACACACTGCCACACTCACTCTCACATCACACCACACACAATACACACTCACATACACCACACACCACACACACCACAGATCTATCACACATCACACACTCACACACCACACATCACATAGCAACTCATATACTCACACACCACACACACTCTCACACACCACACATCTATCACACACCACACACACCACAGATCTATCACACATCACACACTCACACACCACACACTACACACACCAACTCATGCTCACACTCACAGATGAAGCTTCATTCGTCCACCCTCACCTCCTGCTGTGTGGCCAGTTCCTAACAGGCCACAGATTGGTACTGGTCCGTGGCCCTGGGGTTGGGGACCTCTGAGATACACCACACACTGTCACACTCATACACACCACACTCCTCACAGACTCTCCACACACCACATTCCACACACATTCTCACACTCACATCACATACCACACACTCTCATACACACACATACACAACACCATAAACTACATACACACATACTGAAGAAGAAAATTAAATAACAGTAATAGCAATTTGTAGCAGTTGTTATATAAGGTATATTTTGCTGTGTTGCATGCTGTTTAATATAATACCTCCTCCCCAGTTCTGCTTAAGACAAAATAAATATTAACTGTCTCTCAGTAAACCATTTAACCTTATCTGTCCTCCCCACATTCTTAGCAAAGTTCCCAGTCATCTAAGGGTTCCTGTTTTTCTTGCTGGCCAACTGCAAGGCCACAGGGCAAATAAACCTGAAAACTGCAAAATGTGTTTCTCAAAATGTTATTTTTCAAATGTAAAGTACATCACAAAACATGCCACGGGTTAGTTAACGAGGATTCTGTAAAATCACTTTCGCCTTCGTCATCCTGTATCACAAAGGTGCATAAAAGGCACCCATTTTCTTTGTGCTGTGCTCAGTTTTCAAATGTGAATCCTCTGAGCCGGTGCACCTAAATAAAATCCTCCTGTTTCACCCATTGGTCTCTGCGGTCTCCTGATATCCGCGACAATACCACACCACACACACACACACATACACACACACCACAGCAGGCACTCACATACACACACACACAATGTTCTCTACCATCCACTCATGGGTGACCTCAGGCAACCTTTTGCAGCCCCCACACCCCTGGGGTGCACATGGAGGCTCTGCAGGTGAAATGCACAGCCTCCTGACAGCCATCCTGCCAGACAGCCTCGTCGTGGGGGCCAAGGTGTGGTGGGAGGGGGTCTTCTGTTAGGGTGTCATTCACTCAAAATTACCATCAGAGTCCCTGGCGTGGCCCCTGCCGTTCAGCAGACTGGACTCTGTGTATGAACTTTGGGTCTCTGCTGAGCAAGGAACAGGGCAGGACCCTGGCTTTCCACTCTCAGGAAACCCACCCAGGTGCTGGGGGTAGGAGTGCGGGGAGGGAGAGCAGTTCCTTGCTAACTTCTCTGTCTTAGTTTTAGGCCTTAGAGCCATCTGACCTGGCCACAGTTGCTTGCTGCTGTGAGGATTTAGCAAAGGGACTGGTTAGGACCTAAACGCCAGGTCAGCTCCACATGCCTTTGAAGCCAACCCACCGTAAGGGTCGGAGAGACAGAGAGACAGGCCGGCTTAGATCTCCACTTGCACCATCCCCAGTCCAAATGCCACCAAAACCTCCACCATGATCTGTTCCCACACCTGGCCCTCAAGGATGGAAGGGAGGAAGGAGAACGTTCCAGGGTCAATGCTTTAATGAGCATTTTCTTCATCACTACCTGGCCTGGGAGGCTTCCACAGGGACAGATGAGCCTTGGTTCTCACGGCCGTGCCTGGCCCTGCCTCCTCGGGGCCCTTGGAGCATCACCCCCACCACTGCCCACCACTTACGCTGGTTGGTGCGGATGGGGTCCGACCACAGGGTCTGGTCCTCTACCAAGCCTGTGGACATGTTGACTAGGACGTACTTGAACCTGGAAGGAGACAGAGCTGGGGTGACTTCTATGTTTCTTGCAAGCCCCAGCCACAGGGAGGCAGGGTAGGGGCGGGGGCGCAGGCTGCAGATATAGGAGGGCCTAGGGGTGAGGGAGGGGCCAGCCCTTCCAGGAGGTGGAAAGAAAGGAAGAAAAGAAGAAAAGAAAAAGAAAGGAGGGAGGGAGAGAAAGAAAAGAAGAATGGGAATAATATCCATCATCAACCCTGCTGCCCTTGTACAGGAGATATATTTTAAGTGCAGAAACCCTGGAACAAGTGTTTCTAGTCACAAAAGAAGATTGGGCAATGCACTGGCCAGGCACTGTGGCTCACTCCTGTAATCCCAGCACTTTGGGAGGCCAAGGCAGGCAGATTACTAGCTCAAGAGATCGAGACCATCCTGCCCAACATGGTGAAACCCTGTCCCTACTAAAAATACAAAAAATAGCCAGGCGTGGGGGTGCGTGCCTGTAGTCCCAACTACTCGGGAGGCTGAGCCAGGAGAATTGCTGGAACCTGGGAGGCTCATGTTGCAGTGAGCTGAGATTCAGCCACTGCACTTCAGCCTGGCAACAGAGCGAAATTCCATCTCAAAAATAAATAAATAAATAAAAATAAAGAAGACTGAGCAATGCATTACAAAATATCCACAGCCTTCTGAAGGTCTCCTACTCAGTCAGTTTAAACTGATGGATGTTCTGACTACAAAGACATCTACAGCCTGTAGCTTAACACGCAAATAAAAATTAAGATCCTTGAAATCTCATCCAGGCCAGGAGCAGTGGCTCACACCTGTAAGCCCAGCACTTTGGTAGGCCGAGGCAGGCGGATCATTTGAGGTCAGGGGTTCGAGACCAGCTTGGCCAACATGGTGAAACCCCCATCTCTACTAAAAATACAAAAATTAGCCAGGCATGGTGGTGCATGTCTGTAATCCCAGCTACTCGGGAGGCTGAGGCAGGAGAATCGCTCAAACCCAGGAGGTGGAGGCTACAGTGAGCCAAGACTGTGCCACTGCACTCCAGCCTGGGTGACAAAGAGGGACTTCGTCTAAAAAACAAAATAACAAAAAGTCTCATTCAGGTTTTGCTTAACCCCCTACTTTTTTCTGTTCCAAAATGAGATTTCCAGAGGCAGGGCTGACCCCGGGATAAGAAGGGCTTGTAAATGAAGGCAGAAAGGGCTGCCTTTGAGACCAAGGAGGAGGGAGAGGATTTTCCCCTCAAAAACCAAGATCACAGGCAAGAGGCTGGACGGGGAAACAGAGCAGAGACCCTTGCTCTGCCCAGTGGCTGAGGCCAAGGGAGGGAAAGCCCTCTATGAGGATGACAGGTGGGTGACAATCTGGGCCTGGAAGCTGCAGAGACCCCATCCTAGGCATCTCCATGGTACCGGAGCGGATGTAACCTGAGGCTCTGGCCCCAGGTAAGACCTGGCCGTGGATCAGGACTGAGCACTGGGCTTTACGTAGAGAAGATGCTTCAGAAAATGAGAGGGAATGGATGGAGGACCTGCTGGGGTTGGGTGGGCAGCAGCAGGTCTAAGGAAAAAGCAGAAGGTGAGGCTGAGGATGGCCAGGCTTTGGCAGTGTTCCTTTTCATACCAGGCCCCAGCTTTCCACTGGGCAACTTTCCCTCTCTGGGGCAGTTTCCTTTCTTATAAGACGAAGGGGTTTGGGTGGATGATTCCCTACATGTAGATTGGCCAGAACAAGCTGCATAATTTGTGGGGCCCAGAGCAAAATGAAAATGTGGGCCCTTGTTCAACAATTAAGAATTTCGGGATGGGCCGGGCATAGTGGCTCATGCCCGTAATCCCAGAACTATGCAGGAGGCCGAGGCAGGCAGATCACTTGAGGTCAGGAGTTCAAGACCAACTTGACCAACATGGTGAAACTCCATCTCTATTAAAAACACAAAAAGTTGGCCGGGCGTAGTGGCTCACACCTGTAATCTCAGCACTTTGGGAGGCCAAGACAGGTGGATCACCTGAGGTCGGGAGTTTGAGACCAGCCTGACCAACATGGAGAAACCCCATCTCTACTAAAAATATAAAATTAGCCAGGCGTGGTGGTGCATGCCTAGAATCCCAGCTACTCGGGAGGCTAAGTCAGGAGAATCACTTAAACCTGGGAGGCGGAGGTTGCGGTGAGTCGAGATTGCACCACTGCACTCCAGCCTGGGCAAAAAGAGTGAAACTCCACCTCAAAAACAAAACAACAACAACAAAAACACACAAAAAATATTAGCCAGTCGTGGTGGCAGGTATCTGTAATCTCAGCTACTCAAGAGGCTGAGGCAGGACAATCGCTTGACTCCGGAGGCGGAGGTTGCAGTGAGCTGAGATCGTGCCACTGCACTCCAGCCTGGGAGACAGTGAGACTGTGTCTCAAAAAAAAAAGAAATTCAAGATGGTAGCCGCAGAGCACCAATCCAAGAGGGGCCCCTTCTGAACCTGAACCTGAGACAGCATGACCTGCCCGGGACCTGGGATGCTCTCAGCACATAGCTCTCAAGAAATGTGGCTGCTCCCACTGTGCCCCTCTCTCCCTGTCAGGACTGGGGCGTGGCCGCTGCTCTCCGGTAGCAGCTTGTTGACACCCACCTGTACTCTGTGGCTGCTGACAGGGGCGGGTTACAGAGCCCCTGGAAGTTGGGGTCCCACAGGCAGGTCCTGTTGACGCCCACCCTGACCAGGTATGCATTCAGGATCCGTGAGGCCTGGGACACATCCCCAACGGCATCCAGGCTGGGCAGGTCACTGCAGGGGACCAGGTCAAAGGCCACGGCTTTGTAGGGACCTGTCCTCCCACCCTCTGTTTGTTGGAACGTTGAGCTCAGTGGGGTCTTGGTACTGTCTTGCACTGAGGCGTTCCTGGAGCCGGCTGCAGAGGCAGTGCAGGGAGTGAGGCTCCTGGCCACTCCAGCTCAGCCACACTCACTCACTCATTCATCAGACGCCCCTGATTATCCTTTCTGCCTCAACCCTGTGCTGGGCACTGGGGTCACAGGCATGGGGCAAGCTCAGTCTCTGCCCTCCCAGTGCAATGGGGGAGATGGACAAGGATCAACCCCTGCTTTGGGTGCTGTCTGACTCTCACCTTATCTTGTGACATTCCTGCAACCCCCCCATCCCAAAGACCTTTGTCACTTCATTGCTGAAAGCCCTGGATTCTCTCTTATATAAAATGAGAAAGGAGGGTCATATATCCAGGAGAAAAAACGTGGAGGCAGGTCCCAGGTCTCCTCCTGTCTAGATGGGAGACTTTGGACAATTCATTCTACCTCTGCAGACCCTAGTCTTCTATGAAATGGGAGACAAATTCCCTGCGGTGCCCAGAGATCAGGCATTTTAGTTTATTTGGTAGTAAGTAGTTTACTGACTACCTACTAGTCAATAAACACGTGCTGGAAGAATAAAATGATGGCCCTGAATGAGCTGTTGTAAATGACTGGCTGATAGAAATGCAAGAGTTGGGCCGGGCGAGGTGGCTCACGCCTGTAATCCCAGCACTTTGGGAGGCCGAAGTGGGTGGATCACGAGGTCCAGAGTTTAAGACAAGCCTGGCCAACATGGTGAAACTCCGTCTCTACCAAAAATTTAAAAGTTAGCCGGGTGTGGTGACAGGTGCCTGCAATCCTAGCTACAGGAGGCTGAGGCAGGAGAATCACTTGAATCCGGGAGGTGAAGGTTGCAGTGGGCCAAGATCGTGCTGCTGCACTCCAGCCTGGGCAACAGAGTGAGACTCCATCTCAAAAAAAAAGGAAATTCGAGAGCTGATGATGGCTTCTCTCAGAAACTCAGTATCTCCTCCAGGGAGGGGGTCAGGGCCGGGCCAGAGCAGCATGTCTGAAAGTGTGGTTTTACCTTAGAAACACCAATCTTGAGCCACTTTTCTAAGCCTCAGAAGGACATTGTGCTTGAGGACTAGAGAGGTCAGGTTCACTTTCCAGTGCTGGGAGCTCCCAGAGAGTGACTCCACCGCCCTGAGCCCGGATTCTCTGTTCTGTAATGGGGATTGGTAATAGCTACCTTGTAAGCTGGTTATAGATATTAGCTCTATGGTGTGCAAAGTGCCTGGTATGGTGTAGCTACTCAGTGATCGGTGATGTTATTACTTCCCTCTCTAACTGGATGTCCCTGCAAGGCAAGGACAGGTCTGTGGCTGTAGCACCCTGGGCCCGGAGTGGAGGCCAGGGCATGCCTCCACATTTTTTTATTTTTATTTTTTTTAAAGACAGGGTTTCACCATGTTGGTCAGGCTGGTCTTGAGCTCTCAACCTTAGGTAATCTGCCCACCTTGGCCTCCAAAGGGCTTGGATTATAGGCATGAGCCACCATGCCCAGCCTAGCATGGGAGTTTAATTAGACAACTACAGGCATGGAGTGTTCCTCTACCTGCCTCCTTCCCTCCTCCCTACAGACAACTCAAAGACCCTTTTGGAGTAGCCAGAAGGAAGCAAGACCCTTACCTGAGTCAACCAGGACATACAGGTAGACCTCGTAGGTGCCAGTGAGGGCCTCTGAGCTGTCAAACATGCAGAGAGGCTTTTCCAAGGCCACAGTGGTGAGGGTGGGATTGTTGGTGGCAAAGGTCACACTGGCCAGTTGAGGCTGCAGGTTCACAGCTGGAGGAGGCAGTGAGGATGGGAACTGACCCCCGGCAGAACTGTCCACACCCACTCTGCATGCAGTTACTGAGCGCCTGCTGTGTGCCAGGCACTGGGCTTTGTCTTCCCCATGGGCCACCACATAACCTGTCTCAGACACTGCCCCTCACCCAATCATCCTGCTCAGAAATGGGGCAGTCGGGCCAACTTGCTGCCTTCTCTCCCAGCTGCAGACACTCAGATGCCAAGAACTCCATTGCGCCTCTTAGCCATCTCTCCACTCCATTCCCCAGCCCTGCTCCATCCCACTGTCCTCACTTGGACCCTAGTAACCAAGCCTCTCCATACATGCAAATCTGACCATCTCCTTCTCCTGCGATGGCCCTTCCATGGTCCCTCAGCGCCCCCTGACGCAGTCTGGCCTCTCTGGAAAGGCAGCAAGGTCCTAAAGTTCTGAGCTTTGCTTTGTTGGATCTCCTGCCTCATCCCTTCCTCCAAGGGTTTCCCTCACCCCTTGATCCAGCCGATCCCATGGACTGGCAATTCCCAGGATAGCCCAGTGCTGTCTCCCACGTCCATGAACTTGCCCATGCTGCCTGTTCGGCCGAAATATCTCTGTATCTGTCGCCGTCCAGGCCTCACCATAGGTCTGGGGCTGGTCCCTTCTCTGCCCTCCCGCAGTCCCTCTGAGTGTTGGTTTCTTGCAACATACATGGCAGGGTTGCAGCCACCGGTGAGCCCCCCGGATTCCCACCAGAGGATGCGCCAGCTACCATTATTATTCATAATAGTAATATCTGGGTTCCCATTGCCAGGAATCAGGATCCAGGCGATGGGCGCCTCAGGACGCAGCTACCGCCCCTCTCCGGGCTCAGCCCCCACCTGCCCTTCCCCGCCTACCCGAACTGAACCGCAGGCAGCCGAAGGCCAGCAGGGCCCAGAGCGGAGGCATCGCCCGGGAGAAGCCGCCAGAGCGCGGGGCGGGCGGTCCAGCGGGCGGGTGCGGATACCTGGCCTCTCCCGCCCCGCGCACCTGCCAGCCCTGGGCTCGGCGCGCCCCGCCCCCGCCCGACCCGGCCAATCCGCGACCTCCTCACACGCTATTTGCATACGGCCCCGCCCTCTATTTGCATACGACCCCGCCCCGGCCCGTGCGCGACGCCCGCGGGCGCAATCCCACCAGCCAGACCTTCCTGAGCCCGCATCAAAGCGCCTACTGTGTGCTCACGTCAGGGCAGCCCTTCCACAGCGTGTCTCACTAATGAGACCTTGGGGCAAGCCACTCCCACTTGGAGCCTCAGTTTCCATGCTGTAAAATGACGCTAATTCCTACAACTATTTATGGAGGCTTTATTACGTGCCAAACACTCACTGGGTTCTTGTGAAACAAAATGGGTTGATCAGTAAAGATGATATCCTGCGACAACTAAGTCCAGGCCTGGGAGCTATCCGAAGACCTTAGTATGTGACCCCTTCGGTTCACAGGTACAAGCCAAGGCCCAGGAGGCCCCCGGAGCGGGGAGGGTGATTGGAGCATGGCGGGGTTGGGGGTGCAGGGACAGGGACTCACACCCCGGCCGCACTTGGACTCCCTAGAAACACCGAGGCTGATGGAACTCAGGAGTGCTGTGCTTAGTTAGCCCGGGGCTGCCTCCAAAGGATGGAGCAGGGCATTAATGCCTGCCTCCTAAAGCGGTGTTTGAAAATAGTGATGGACTCCTCTCCTGGACTGCGTGGTTCCTTCTTTCACAAGAATCTGTGCACATTTCTGAATGCAACTTAAATCAATTTTACCTTTAAGAAATAAAAATGCCGGCCATGGTGGCTCACGCCTGTAATCTCAGCACTTTGGGAAGCTGAGGTGGGTGGATCACCTGAGGTTGGGAGTTCGAGACCAGCCTGACCAACATGGAGAAACCCTGTCTCTACTAAAAATACAAAATTAGCCGGGTGTGGTGGTGCATGCCTGTAATCGCAGCTACTTGGGAGGCTGGGGCAGGAGAATCGCTTGAACTCGGGAGGCCAAGGTTGCAGACAGTGGAGATTGTGCCATTGCACTCCAGCCTGGGCAACAAGAGCGAAACTGCACCTCAAAATAATAATAATAATAATAATAATAATAATAATAAATAGATAAATAAAAGTCATCAAGGATAGGAGAAAAACCAACAGAGCCTGGGCAAGGAGGCTCATGCCTGTAATCCCAAGGCTTTGGGAGGTCAAGGTGGGAGGATTCCTTGAGGCCGGGCGCTAGAGACCATTCTGGGTAACATAGTAAGACCTCATCTCCACCAAAAAAAAAAAAAAAAAAAAGGCAAGCCTGGTGGGGGATGCCTTGTAATCCCAGCATCGCTTGAGCCCAGGAGGTCACAGCTCTATGAGCTATGACTAAAGCTGCAATAACAGAGCCAGACCCTGTCTCTTAGAAAAAGGAAAGCGAAAATCAACAGAAACTAATTAATCTCTATGTGATGTTGATGACATAACCCACTTGCAGAAAAAAAAAAAAAGCTATCTGAGTAACTACGGAACTGGGTTGTCCAGCTGTACCTCCTTAGTGGGGTACACTCTAAGGACTGGGAGACCTGTGACAGAACCCCAAACCTCATTAGCGAGTTTGTTATTGGCAGCGGAGAGGGCGGAGCCGTTCTGAAGCAACTTTGGGCTATCCCAGGATTGGTAGTACCAAAACCCAGATTCCCACTGTAGGATGAGGGAGATTTGGAATGGAGGAAGGAAAATGCTGGTGTTTTGTTATTTGTAATTAGTTATGGAAAAATAAATTACCAAAACAAGAGTTTTAAGTAAGAAGAAGAAGCAAGAAGAAGAAGGAGGAGGAGGAGAAGAAGGGAGAAAGAGGCTGGCCAGGAACAGTGGCTCATGCCTGTAAACTCAGCACTTTGGGAGGCCGAGGTGGGCAGATCACTTGAGCACTTGAGATCAGGAGTTCGAGACCAGCCTGGCCAACATGGCAAAATCCCTTCTCTACTAAAAATACAAAAAAGTTAGCCGGGCTTGGTGCCGTGCGCCTGTAGTTCCAGCTACTTGGGTGGGTAGCTGAGGCGGGAGAATCACTTGAACCGGAGAGGTGGAGTTTGCAGTGAGCCGAGATTGTGCCACTCCACTCCAGCCTGGGCAATAGAGCTAAATTGTCTCAAAAAAAAAAAAAAAAGGAAGGAAGGAAGGGAGGAAGGGAGGGAGGGAGGGAAAAAAAAGAGAGAAAGAGGAAAGGAAGAAAGAAAAAGAGAGAAAGAAAGAGAGAGAGAAAAAGAAAACTAGGCCCACTGAGAGGACCTAGAAGCAGTCATACACGAGAACACCTTACCACTGTTAGATTCGAAGCTCCAGTTCCCAGTAAGGGATGGCTGACTCCAGAGCTGAGATGGGGAACGTCGAGAGGATCCCGGGACACTTTACAGTGCCGGAAAGTAAAGAGGTGCTCGAAGGATGGTGGGAGTGTGAAAGGAGCTGCTGGCACAGAGCTGCTGGAAGGGGCTGCCAATGGCCAGGCCTGGGAATATTTGAGCACAAAATAAGTAATGGAAGTCATACATTTAGCTTTTTTTTTTTTTGAGATGGAGTCTCACTCTGTCACCCAGGCTGGAGTGCAGTAGCATGATCTTGGCTCACTGCAACTTGAATCCTGGGTTCACACGATTCTCCTGCCTCAGCCTCCCAAGTTGCTGGGACTACAGGCACCCGCCACCCTGCCCAGCTAATTTTTTTTCTTTTTTGTACTTTTAATAGAGACGGGGTTTCACTATGTTGGTCAGGCTGGTCTCACACTCCTGGTCTCGTGATCCACCCACCTTGGTCTCCCAAAGTACTGGGATTTCAGGTGCGAGCCACTGCACCCAGCAACATTCAGCTTCTTGGATAAAATACAAATCTATGAGTCAATATTGATACTTTAAAATATATGTACATATATTTTTTGAGACAGGGTCTCATTGTATTACTGAGGCTGGAATGCAGTGGTGTGATCTCGGCTCACTGCAAACTTTACCTCATGGGTTCAAACGATTCCCCTGCCTCAGCCTCCTGAGTAGCTGGAATTACAGGTCCCACCACCACCTCTAGCTAATTTTTGTATTTTTACAAATATCATAAAATATGATGAGACAGGGTTTCACCATGTTGGTCAGGCTGGTCTCAAACTCCTGACCTCAAGTGATCCGCCTGCCTTGGCCTCCCAAAGTGCTGGGATTACAGGGGTGAGGCACGACGCCCAACCAAAAAATATTTTAAAAGAGGGAAGAAAAAAGGAAAATTCTTCTTTAAAGAAGACCACTGGCCAGGCGCAGTGGCTCACACCTGTAATCCCAGAACTCAGGGAAGGCGAGATGAGAGAACTGCTTGAGTCCAGGAGTTGTAGACCAGCCTGGGCAACACGGCAAGTCCTGGTCTCTTCAAATAATAAAAAAAAAAGTAGCCAGATGTGGTGGTGTGTGCCTGTGGTCCCAGTTACTGGGAAGGCTGAGGTGGGAGTGTGTCTGGAGCCCCCGTGTTTGAGGCTGCAGTGAACCATGGTGGCGCCACTGTACTCCAGCTTGGGCGTCAGAGTGAGACGTCATCCCAAAAAACAAAAATAAAATAAAGATCTTATTGCTGGTCACGGTGGCTCATGCCTGTAATCCCAGAACTTTGGGAGGCCAAGGTGGGTGGATCACCTGAAGTCAGGAGTTCAAGACCAGCCTGGCCAACATGGTGAAACCCTGTCTCTACTAAAAATACAAAAAATTAGCCGAGTATTGTGGCAGCGCCCGTAATTCCAGCTACTTGGGAGGCTGAGGCAGGAGAATCGCTTGAACCGGGAGGTGGAGGTTGCAGTGAGCTGAGATCACACCATTACACACCAGCCTGCGCAGTAAAAGTGAAACTCTGTCTCAAAAAAAAAAAAAAAGACAAAGAAAGAAAGAGAGAAAGAGAGACAGAGAGGGAGGGAAGAAGGGAGGGACCACCAACCAGTCAAGAGAGAAGGAATGACAAAACAGGATTAACATTTTACAACTGCCGTGGCAATAAGTGATTCATGAAAGAATCATCTCAGTGGATACTAAGACCATAGGGGAAAGGTTTTTAGGGGACAAGATATGCGGAAATCCAGAGAACCAACTTTACCGGATGATGAAACGGAGCATCCCCAGTAGTGGGACGCACTGGCCTCATGTGCTTCCTGGTGTCCTGGCACTGATTAGGACTCAGCATCCTCCATGTAGTGTCCTGCCCAAAAGGTGAAACTTGAATCAATAGGAAACCATCAGACAGATCCACATGGGGGGACTTTCTGCAAACCAGCTGGCCTGGATGCTTCAAAAATGTTCATATCATGAGTGACAGAAGCAAAGCAAAACAAAACCAAAGGCCGAGACCTGTGCTAGAATGAAGGAGATGTAACCACTAAAGGAACTGAGTGATCCTTGTTTAATTCTTGGATAAAAAACAAGTAACCTTTAGTGAACACTATTAGAGTTAGTATGACAATGAGAGAAATTTGAATTAGAGAGTATGTATTAGATAGCAATATTTATTAGATGTTAAATTTTGTTTTGTTTTGTTTTTTTGAGACAGAGTCTCACTCTGTCTACCAGGCTGGAGTGCCATGGTGTGATCTCAGCTCACTGCAAACTCCACTTCCGGAGTTCAAGCGATTTTCCTGTCTCAGCCTCCTAAGTAGCTGGGATTACAGGCATGCGCCACCACACGTGGCTAATTTTTGTATTTTTAGTAGAGATGGGGTTTCACCATGTTGGTCAGGCTGGTCTCCAACCAATCCACTCACCTCCACCTCCCAAAGTGCTGGCATTACAGGTGTGAGCCACTGAGCCCGGCCACAATTCCATGCATGTGGATGAAGTGTCATGATATCTGAAACTAACACATATATGAGATTCGAGAGAAAAAAAGATAAGGCAAATTTCCTGTAATGCTAGCAATCGGTAAATAAGCATGGGTACTTACTATAGTGTTCTTGAAGTGTTTCTGTAGGTTTGACATTTTTCAAAGTAAAAATGTGGGAGAAAGAGTCCGTACTC